GCCTTCAATGCCTTTAATTCTTCCAGATCTTCAAATGCCTTCAAAAGAGCTCTCAAATCTTCAAGCCTTCAAGTTGTCAAGCGTTCTTCAATGTCTTCAAGCTCTCAAGTCTTCAAGTTGTTCTCAATGTATTTAAGGTGTGATTTGAAGAATGGAATTGAGGCTCTATTTATAGTGAAGTTTGTAACTAAAATCCCTCAACAAACTCCACTAATATTTATTTAATTAAATTAATTAATTATCTACTAAAATGAACCTTGCCAAAATCAAGTCTAGGTTCATTATTCTATCATCTAATTCAAATTCAAATTAAATTATAATTATCTAATTCAAATATAATAAAATTATATTATATTTAAATTATAATTATAATTATAATTCAATTATGAAATGGGCTTGGACCAATTAATTAATTAATTCAATAGCCCAAATCAAATTTACTTGGACTAATGATCAACCCTAAAATTGGGCTCGATAATGATTTAATCGGTCCACTTGTCGGCTTCAAATTTTCTGTGTCTACAAATTGCCCCCTCGAGACTTTCTTGGACATGCCACTTGAGAGCATACACTGCTTGAAAGTATGTAGTGCATGGAAGTCTCGAAACTATAAGGCCATTTCAACTCGTGCCAAGGAGCCTTGTGGGATATGAGGCAGTTTCAACTCGTGCCGGTGAGCCTTGAAGTAATATGAGGCAGTTTCAACTCGTGCCGGGGAGTCTTGAATATGATGCGTTTTCAATTCACATTGAGGAAGCTTGAAGAATATTTCCTCCATCACATATTGTGGTATAATGTGTTGAGGCACATTCTTCTCTAGCATATGGGCTGATTAGAGGAATTTTCATCTTCACTCCTTGGTTCGTTGGAGTAATATGGAACCACTTCGGCACGTAATCCGCCAATGTGACTGGAACTCGTGCTTTTATATGGTGGCTGCAAGTCCTCCCATCTATAGGGCCCTTTACCATTTTCTTCTTAACCCACCTTTTCATAGCTTGCTTAGGCGGTCGTGTTGCAGCACAAACGTGGTGTTGCTTAGCATGCTTAATACCAAGTCGAGTACCATACTCGGGTTTGGTATCATAAGACTTGATGTTAAGAGGAAATATACACTTGTGTTGTTTTCTATTTCCCTTCACATTGTTCTTCTCAATGAGTAGCGAAGTAGATTTACCGCATGAGATGGAAACTTGATTAGCGCTTGCTGTGGCATCTGCAAGTTCAATTCTCCCATCTCGAGCTAACTTCATTACTTTATCCTTAAAGACAAAGCAATTTTCAATTGGATGTCCGACAAGCCTATGAAACTTGCAATAACTCGGATGATCCACCATTGATGCCTCGTGTGGTCGCCTCATTTCTGGAAAATGAACGAGATTGTGTTTCAATAGCTCATCAAACATATGTGGGACATCAAAATCCAAGAATGGATACTTCTTGTTTTGTCTTTCCCTGAAAGAAAGCCTTCTACTACCCCGTAATGATCTAGAAGCACCCTTAGACTCATTAGTAGCTTCAGTGAATATCCTAGCTGGTTGAATATTCACATGCATAGCGTCCATGCTTTCATATTTCTTAAAGGCCTTGCCGCCATTTTCAACGTCATCATGACTCTTGCCCCCATTGTAGAAGCTTTGAATGGGTATGTTTTGTTCACCATTAGCTGTTATGCTTAACTCCATATCGTGGGCACGACTAGATAATTCCTCAAAAGTCTTAGGCTTGAGCCCTTGGAGGATGTAGGAGAGCTCGAAGTGCATGCCTTGGATGCACATTTCAATCGCGGAGCTCTGTGATATCTTTTCCTTGCAACTCAAGCATAACTCCCTCCATCTTTCAATGTAAGAAGTCGAGCTTTCACCATTCCTTTGGCGAGTGGTGGTGAGTTCTAAGAAGCTGACGGTTCTTCTTGTGCTGTAGAAGCGGGTAAAGAACTCGCGCTCCATGTCATGCCAGCTATCAATGCAGCTAGGCTCCAAGTCGGTGTACCAATTGAAGGCAGTACCCATCAAAGAGCGGACGAACTGCTTGACAAGAAGATCTCCATATGTCCCAGCGTCGTTGCATGTTTCCACGAAGTGGGCGATGTGTTGTCTTGGATTGCCTTTCCCATCGAATTGTTGAAATGCTGGAGGTTGATATCCAATGGACATCTTCAAATCCTCTATCCTTTGGGTGTAAGGCTTGGTGTAAGTGTATGAAGGTTTTTCCCCCTCGAGTTTTCCTTTGATAGCTCCCATGATGAACTCGTCAAGCCGATCTACTGGTACCATGCCCCCTGTGACTGGAATGCTCCTGTCCGAACTTGGTATGTGCGAAGTTGATTCCTCGTGCACTGTAGTTCGCCCAATGAAAGTTGGTGAGTGCGAGACATCTTCTCCTTGAACCTCAGGTTGTTTTCCAAGAGCCCCGCTAGTTTCACCATTCCTTGTGCTCTCGACCTTTTCAGCTAAGTCGTTGATTCTCTTTTCTTGGTTTTGAAGGAGGGTGGTGATCCCTTCAAGCGCCTTAGTGATGCTTGCAAGCTGGTCCTCTATAGTTGTCGCGCTTGTTGTCATAGCCGGCATACCTGTATAGATGCGTGACCATTCTGGCGCGACCTTCCACGTGTTAGACGACGGCGATGTCGGTGACGAGCCTCCGGTGTTAGCGTTTCCTTTTGGGGATGTTGGACTCCCGCTACCAGCAACTCCTTTCAGAGATGTTGGATTCCCGCTATCGGCTGCTTCTTTCAGAGATGTTGGACTCTCGCTACCAGTTGCTCCTTTTGGGGTAGTCGACTTCTCGCTATTAGCCGCTCCTTCTGAGGTAGATGACTTCTCGCTATTCGCCGCTTCTTTCGAAGATGTCAGCATCCTGCTGCTAGCTGCTCCTTTCGAAGAAGCCTGCCTCCGGCTATCTGTTGCTCCTTTCAAAGATGGTGGACCTGCAACATAAATAGACTTCCTCGGGACGGTAGGGGCCGTTTCGAGTCTTTGAATCATACGTCGAACAATTGACTCAGGCTCCGGCGGTCGCATTCCTAAGCTCCTTGCACGGCTCCTGGTTAATGGTGTTTCGGTCTCTCGGTTAGCTTCAAAACCAGTTATTGACGAAGACTTGGAACTAGCGGCTTGGGCATAAGACTTCTTGAACATTGAGCTTCTTGACGCCATTCCGGTTGCTAGTAAAGTTGTTTGCTAATGTAGATCGATAGTGAAGAGATGAGAGGCAGAGCGGTCCCATTGGGTGTGCCAAAATCTGTAAACACAAAATAGTAAACTTTGTATATATTCACAAAATTCCGTGTACAGTGTGTGTATAATTCAATGCAAGTACAAAATCTCTGTCTAGTCCTCTGATTCTTCACTGACGTTATCTATGGAAGTGCCTCCGGGATTCAAATAGCGTAGCCTCCGGGATTTAAGTGGCGCGTGCCTCCGGGATTTAAGTGGCGTAGCTTCCGGGATCTAAGTGGCGTGACTTCCAACAACGAGCGTCAAGAATTTAGAAGTAATCAGCCCTGCAATGGATTCAAATTGCCTGCAAAATCAACAAAAATGCGTTCAAGTCTTCAAGCGTTCTTCAATGCCGTTATCTATTGAAGTGCCTCCAGGATTCAAATAGCGTAGCCTCCGGGATTTAAACGGCGTAGCTTCCAGGATTCAAACGGCGTGATCTTCAACAGCAAACGTCAAGCTCCGAAGCAATAAACTCTGCAAAACATCAAATTAAAGCTCCTGCAATGGCTTCAAGTTGCCTTCAAAAGGCTCCAAGATCTTCAAAGTACCTATAAAAAGGCTTCAAGTTGCTTCAAGATCTTTAAAACCTGCAAAAAATGCCTTCAATGCCTTTAATTCTTCCAGATCTTCAAATGCCTTCAAAAGAGCTCTCAAATCTTCAAGCCTTCAAGTTGTCAAGCGTTCTTCAATGTCTTCAAGCTCTCAAGTCTTCAAGTTGTTCTCAATGTATTTAAGGTGTGATTTGAAGAATGGAATTGAGGCTCTATTTATAGTGAAGTTTGTAACTAAAATCCCTCAACAAACTCCACTAATATTTATTTAATTAAATTAATTAATTATCTACTAAAATGAACCTTGCCAAAATCAAGTCTAGGTTCATTATTCTATCATCTAATTCAAATTCAAATTAAATTATAATTATCTAATTCAAATATAATAAAATTATATTATATTTAAATTATAATTATAATTATAATTCAATTATGAAATGGGCTTGGACCAATTAATTAATTAATTCAATAGCCCAAATCAAATTTACTTGGACTAATGATCAACCCTAAAATTGGGCTCGATAATGATTTAATCGGTCCACTTGTCGACTTCAAATTTTCTGTGTCTACAGCCGCACCTAAGTACACTGCTGCACTTGAACCTTCCTCTCTCTCTCTCTTCTCTCTCTCTCTCTCTCTCTCTCTCTCTCTATATATATATATATATATATATATATATATATATATATATATATAGAGCAATATGAAACTAAATTTGGAATTGTCATCAAAGACAAGATACCTTTGGTGAAATTAACTTTTTTTCTTAATACTTTTTTTTTTTTTTTTTGAAAATTTTTTTCTTAATACTATTGTAACTAAGTTTTTATGATAAAAAAATCGACATTTGGAGGCACGCAACATGCATATGCCTAGATGGCTAGATGTGCTTGTTAGACGCTTCAAAGCGATTGCAGTTGGTGACACTGAACTACTTTTTGGACCATTGCTAGAGCAACTGTCTCTCAAAGAGATCGTTGGCATGGCAATAGCCTTTCATTTTTTTTAATTATTAATTAAATTAAAAATTGTAACAAAATTTATAACGATTTTTTTCTTTCTAATTTATTCTTCCAATGAAAAAAGATTGAACCCCAACCCTAACTTATTTATTTATTTATTTTTGTATATTTGATGGGCTTACTTAAATTATAAATGATAATAAATAAAAAGAATATAAAAAATAGTTGATGTGTAAGCCCATCAACAATTGAAGTTGCTCTAACATAATAATAAGTATATGGAAAACAAACAGATAAATATTCATAGGAATACACACACACATATATATATATATATGGGATTAAAACACCAATACTGAATGCAATAGTCCTTACAACATTAAAAGGAAAAAAAAAAAAAAAAACAGACAATGAAAATATAGTATGAAAACAATAGGAATTGAAGGTGTGAGGTTGTATTTAGGAGAAGAATTTGTAGGTCTTGGCTTGTAATACAATTGCTCTTAGTGCTCCAATAGGGGCTAAAATCATCAAAGCTACTCCAAGTATAATGCACACCTGAAACAACGTACAACTAACCATGTAAACAAACAAAAAGTAGATATGAGATGATGTAAACCAAAAACACATGATTTAATAAGCTGCCATACCCAGTTACAGCACCAAGAAAGACTAAATTTCTTCGGTTTGTAAATAGCAAGCCACATAATGCACGGGAGCTGCAAAACGGGACATCATCACACTCAATTCATCTGCAATTTCATCATATATATATATATATATATATATATATATATATATATATATATAGAGTGAGTATAGTGTTGCTTACAAAGTATGTAGTTGGGGCGAAAGCGAATCCTCCAAAGAATCCAAGAAGCCCTCCAAAGAAAGGGATGCAAATGGCAATAAACATGGTGAGAGCTGCAATTAATATAATAGTACTTAATTGTGATTCAAAGTTAAGTTGCAGATAGAACATCATAGTATGTATGTATGTCTGATGGATGGGATGGTATAGTTTAAGGTTTGAATTCCTTACCCACATAAGTGACCCTAACGATGGAGCGTAGGTACCAAGTAGGTTTGAACATGAGTTTTTTGACAAGAACAGTCTCCATCATGTCAAAAACAGGCATGGCAAAGATCTGCACAAACACAAACCATATATCGTCTTAGCTTCTTATTGTGCAAATTAAAAGTAGAGATCGAAAATGAAATTAGTATTTGGATGACCTGATAGCTGCCAATGACATGAACAACTACAAACATGTTAGCCATGACTACGAGCCAAGTTGGTTTTTCGAGGGATATGAGAATGTTGTCCTCCACCTTGTTCCCGAACATCCAGTACCCTATGAGAGCCACTGGAAAATAACACACAGCAACAACAATGTAAGCAACAATAACTCCCTTCCACATTGGCCCTTTCGATGGCTTCTCAGGCGTTGAAGGAATCGTTGCCTGGATCTCCAGCACTACATTGTGTCCGGCATACGCAAACGCCACGTCCCCCAATGCACTGAAGAAGTTGAAAACCATGCCTGTTCTGCTTGGATCTTTGGGGCCATAATCAACATCTGCTTGCACACCTTTGCTCAAAGTAGCCCCCCAAGCAATAGTGGAGTAACTACATATATATATATAGTCACATACATGATCTGAGAGGATTATATATATATATATATAATATAATATAATATAATATAATGTTTCTGATTGATTACATCCATACATACCTTAATGACATTATAGCTGCTGCCAAAGACACACCAGAAATGGAGTTGAAGTTGGGGAGATGGGCAAGCCCAAAATGGACAGATCCAAAGATGATAATGAAGTAAGTGAGTTTGATATCTTTGCAGCTGTGTTTACATACCAAATCATGCACTTTCTTCAGCGATTTTCCGCCTGTCACCATGTACACTATGTCCACCCCAACTTCCACCACCAGCTGCTGAGGCACCACAATCCACAGCCCCAGCTTCTCACCAAACGCGTGTTGCCCCAACTCATGATACCTGTCGAAACGCTTCCCGGGCACCATTTCGTGCATCTCAACCATTTGCCATAGAGTGTATAGTGTTATAATCCATGATATGATCAACACACTCACTCCTGGCCCCCTGAAACGATAGATCGATCATGTTCAAATTAATTAATTAATTAGCTAATAATCTAACTCAACTCCGATCCGATCAACTTTACCATCCAAGGTGTGACATGGCATAAGGGAGACTAAGGACACCAGCTCCAACCATGGCAGTCACATTGTGGAAAGAAGAATACCACCATTTTGCTTTCCTTGATGAAGTAATTGGAAGCCATTCATCAACATTCTTTGCCTTCTTTGATCTTTCATCAACCTGCTTAGCTTGCACAAATTAATATATAAATCAATCAATCATTACTAATTAAACATGCATAAACAAACATTATTAAACTGCAGAAGATGAGATCAGATCAGAACAAGTACTACATACGTACCATGATTGGAATTTGGAGGAGTTCTTCACAGACCTCACACACACAGGACTGCCTCCAAACCAACCTCCACTCTCAGATAAATAATGAAGAAGCAACCAACCTTTGGTACTAGCAGGATGGCCGGATGCAATGAATCTCATGAATCAATGTTGGAATCTTTGGATATCAATAAGAAGATCCCTTTTTTGGCAACTTCTTTTTGCTGTTATGATAATTGCTACAATTTTGCTATTATCATTAATATTTGCTATCATTTTGTTAATTGCTAATTTGCTATCATACTCAACAACAGCTGTTAGCAAATGTGATTGCTCAAAATATGGCCTAATTAAATAATGGCCCATTTGGTAGCACCGTATTTATTTTCTTTACTTTTTTTTTTTTTTGGGGGGGGGGGGGGGGCGGGGGGGGGGGGTTATGAAAGCATTACTTTTTATTGATTTGTTATATATGGGAAGGATAAATAATGAATTTGTTTTTTAATCCTAGTTTATCAATTCTCATCCTACCTCCATCGAAATGTGAAATGAGTTTTTTTTTTATTATTATTATTAGGATGAGGACCACCCTAAAAAAGAATACTCTAACTGTATTGACGGTAAAAAAAAATTAACAATGCACCAAAAACCTTATTCCCAAATCGAGTTTTGTCTGGCCATGTATCTAAATACATTCGTTTTTTTGAATAATGAAATGTAAAAATTTAAAATATTAATGATATTAGGATTTTATTAAACCCTATGCACCAAATATACACCACTAATAATTGAAAAAACAATAAATCTATACCATTACTAAGGGCTTAAAAGAGACTATAAAGCTGTCATTTCTCCAAAAATAATAATAAATAATTAAAACGTATAATCTTTTTGAATCTTTTTTCTTTCTTTTACTTTTAATGTATTTTATTGGCTAAAGTGTAGACTGTGTCTAACCATTTTATGGTTTGTATGTGCGGTGAATAGAGGTGTATTGCGTTCTTCTACCTAAAATGAAGGTTCACATGCTGCACATGCACTTTCATTAAAATTATTTCCCAAATAACCATTGTTGGTTCACTACTTAACAAAAAAGTCACCTCCTCTGTCTGAGTATATAAAATGTTGAACCTAAAAGGTACTGCTTAGAAGTTACCTCTTTTGATGGTGAAGCTCTCATGTGGTAAAGTAGCATAAGAAGGTAAATCAAACTATAAAGTTGTTATTTCTTCAAAAATAATATAGGGCAATAAATAATCAAAACGGATAATCTTTTTGAATCTTTTTTCTTTCCTTTTATTTTTTAATGCATTTTATTCGCCAAAATGAAGTTTTACAATCAATTACTCAAGAATATTATCTTGTCAAATCCTATAGGAGAATATGGAAGTACTAATATGGTCTTTCACAATAAAGTAATAGACAGAATTGCCATAAAACAACTTATTAGTAAAATAATAAATCACTTTGGATGGACCTTTAGAGTTGGGGTTCAGCCTTTTGGAAGAATAAATCACTTCGGATATCCTGGATCAAGTCAAGGGAGCTAGGACATGAGCACCATGTTAAAAAATTAAGTCACAACGAAACGTCGATGTTTTTAATTGGGTGAGAAAATGCAATTAATACAATTTTGTTGGGTCGCCGGGGAATGGGAACACCTAGGATGGATGATTCCACCGTAACTCACAATAATACAAAATACAATCCTACATAGTAAGTGTACTACCCTAATTATGCAATGAGAATCCTATGGCATTTTGGCGGTTACAGTAGCTTTCAAAGAATCAAAGTTGGTTTTACATTAAACTAGTATTTTCACCCGTGCAATATCCGGAATGAATTTGTTAAAATATTTTAAAAATATTTGGATCGATATATAATAATATAAATTATTATATCGAATATTATATAATGCAGTTGATGAATTGAGTTGATCGATTGTATTTTCTAATGTTATCATTGCTTGAATTTGATCAAATAATTGTGCAAAATTAATAGTTAATGTGTAGATGTGCGCATTAAGTGCTGAAACTTTAGATATTTTAAATATCAGTGTTCAGTGAATTATATATGGGGATCATATTTAATTTTTAGTGAATTATTAATATTCATTACCTTTTCCAATTGGTCTAATTTGTTTTTCATTCCTTAAGCAAAATCTTCCTTACACATTCTATACATAATTTTACATCTTTATATATGCGTATTGTAATGAGGTCCTATAATTTTGAATAAAGATGTGCTACAAAATCAGTCATAATTAATTTCTTTTGAATCATTCATACGTATTGCAAGAACATTTCCATGTTTAATTACACAATTTTCCTTATAAATTGTGGATACTACACGATTCTATTCAATTTTTCATTTGTAAATATATATCTTTACACAACTATATTTCCAGTAACATATATACACACATTTTTTTTTAATATTTCCACTGACTTTACATTTTATAAAATATATAACTGAAATTAATATTTTTTCCATCTCGGCTGAACTTTTTTTTTTTTTTTTGACATACTCGGCTAAACCTTATAATTAAACAATCCTTATATTCTTAGTATAAAATAACATTTGGTATAAAATTATTAATTTCCATATCGATAAATATTCTTTCCATCTCGGCTAAACCTTATATTTCCATCTCGTATTGCAAAACATTTTCCATCTTTAATTACAAAATTTTCCTTATAAATTTTGGATACTAAATGATTGTATTTCATTTTTCACTTTTTAAAATATATATCTTTACATAACTATATTTCAGTAACATATATATATAGATTTTTTTTTTTTTTATATTTCCAGTAACTTTATATTTTATAAAATATATAACCGAGATTAATATTCTTTCTATATACTATTATACTAAGTCAGTTTGGAAGTATTTTTCATTTTCAGTCAATTATTAATAGTCATTTCCTATTTCAAATGGCCTAAATTTCGTACCATTTTTATTCTCAGTCAATTATTCTTTTTAATACATATTAATTAATTAATTAATAATAACAGTTTTTTTTATATTTCCACTAACTTTACATTTTAGAAAATATATAACCGAGATTAATATTTCTTTACATTTTATTAATATTCATTTCATTTTGTGCATTTGAGTCAGTTTCAAAACATTTTTAATTTTCAATCGATTATTAATAGTCATTTCCTATTTCAATTGGCCTAAATTCTATGCCATTTTTATTCTCAGTCAATAATTATTTTCGTAATATTCTTTTAAATAATATAATTTCACCTTTAGACATGCAGGTGTGGGTAAATGAATAAAACAAATGAATATTCAAAGGAATGTGAACCAATTAAATCTTTCAATTTAAACAAAATACATAAATTTTAAATTTTAAATTTTAAATATAAAATCTATATGCTTATTCGTGCAGTTTACTGAATATGTTTATTACCAATTATATTATAAAATACCATACATATTGGTAGGGAATATCCCGACCGACATAGCTCCACCACGACCGAGATGCCTTTGTCCATTTGCCTATGTCTTTGCAGGTAACAGGTCGGGCTCCTTGAGGAGAACCCGGTCGGTGACCGACCGGGAGTTGCCCGAGCGATGCTATGAACCCCGAGCGGTGGTCCTTAGGCGAAAGAGCTGGCTAAAGACACGTGGCGGCTTTCTACGACGACAGGCAGGGCACCCGGGAGGTGGACGCGTGGAGGCTACGTGGAGAGCATGCCGAACGGCCGGAAGTTTGTCTCCGGCGTCGCGGCTATAAATACCCACAGTAGCTACAGTGAGGGGACTTTTGGACGATCGATAGGGTGTAACTAGAGACTCCCGACCGCAGTCAGTCGGTACTCAGTGCAACCAAGTAGATTGTACTTAGGAACTCTACCTCGATTAATAAATACTTACTCGCTTTACTTGGTCTTGTGTTACCTATATTGCTTACGTGTTATTAGCAGTATCATTTTGGCGCCGTCTGTGGGGACCCGTGCAACGAGCCAACGTCTTGACGAGCACCCGGTCTCTTTTCCAACATGTATCCGTGGGCACACAACAACTTCGCCGACGACCAGGCGGATGCGGCGAGCTCCTCCGACCACTATGCTACCCAACAGCAGGGTCAGACGATGGACCTCAACCTCAATCTCTCACCGCCACATCCGTCAAATACGTACCCGGCCGCCCAGCAGCCGGTGAATTATATACAACCGGGATACCCACCACCCGGTCTGCCATACCAGCAGCAGCCGATGATGTATCCCGCCCAGTACCCGTATCCGGTTCCACCTCCACCATACGGGTTTTGGCCAGGCCAACCGATGTGCTACACTTCCCCGGTTGGCTATCCACCATATACGCCTGGCTATACAGCTCCAGCCGCCGCCCCTCCAGTACAACCAATCGCACAGGTAGAGCCGCAGCGTCAGTCCACTTCCCGGGCTCGACGCTCGGCTCATTCGCGGTTGGGGTCGGGGGGTGCTGATGCGATGGGGGCACCAGTTCAGGCCGTTCAAGCGGAGGACCCCGAGGAGGTTGCCCGAGCGGTAGCTTTCGACCGTCTCCGACCAGAGATGCGCCAGCGTCTGGGACCCCAGGACCCGAACCCCAGGCAAGAGGACGAACAAATGCAGGAAGCTAGCCACGAGGCTTCATCCGGGTACAGCGGGTCGAGATCACATCGACGTCGACGCGCTCGGGATACAGCCCAAGCCGCCCAGAACGCCGAGCTCAACGAGACCCGAGGATTGCTCTACAATCTCCAGGCCGAAGTTGCGCAGCTCAGGAGTGCATATCCTACAGCACCCTCGGCCGACCGATCGACCCTCCACCAGACGCCTTTCACAGCAGCGGTAATGGCTCAGCCTTACCCGCTCGACTTAAAGGTCTCGGGAGAGAAGAGCTACGACGGTCGGGCAGATCCTGAGGCTCACGTGAACGATTTTTTCAGCAACATGATGTTGAAGGGCGTTTCAGACGCCGTGATGTGCAGGGCCTTCTACTCAACCCTCACCGGTCGGGCAGCAGAGTGGTTCCGCACCTTGCCCCCGGGGTCGATCGACAAATTTGAGACCCTGGCGATCAAGTTTGTACGGAAGTTCATTACTTCCAAAGTGGTGAGGAAGTCTTACATGTACCTCGAGAAGGCCAAGCAGCTCGAAGGGGAAAGCTTGACCGACTTCCTCATCAAGTGGAAAGCAGCGGTCGGGGAGGTCGAACCCATGGATGATGCGACCGCCACCCACATGCTCCATATCTCCCTTCGGGCGGGGTACCTGTACCAGGATTTTATCCTCCACCCCCCGACCACGTATGAGGAGGCCCTCCGAAGGGTCACGGATTACGCCAA